TGCTTTAAGGACCTCACCACTCTTCCTTAGTTATGTCAACAATTGGTGGAAACAACTTTGGCAGAAAACTACCATTTGCTTTACAAGTTGATTCAGTTGGTGTTGACTCTTCCTGTTTCTACAGCAACAACGGAACGAACTTTTTCATGTATGAGAATTATTAAGAATAGACTTCGAAGCACCATAGCTAATGAATTCCTTGCTGATTGCATGATTCTCCACATTGAAAGAGAGTTTGCTAATAGTATCGATAATGAAGAGATAATTGAAGAATTTAAGATTTCTAAGCCTCGTAGGGTACAATTTTAGATTAAAATAGTTTAGTTTTTGTGTTGCATTGCATTTACTTCTTGTTTTTTTGTTAAGCTTTTATTTATGTATAGATATGCATATTTGAGGGTAAGGCTCATTACGTCCCCCCTGACTAGGTGTATCTTTTTATTTTTATCAATAAAATTCACTCGTACCATCGAGTTTTTAAGGTAAGTTTCGCCTACCTGACTTTTGAATCCTGGATCCGCCACTGCATGGAGGGATATGACATTCATGTCAAGATAAAAGTTATCAGACTCCATGTGGTTTGACTTTGGTATGCTTATCTCTCTCTACCATACCTTTCACAAATTTAGCTCTAAATATTTGCATATGTTGGCACCAATATAGCCGTAATTACGGTTAATTTTATACATACACAACCAATAAACATGGCTCTTAATTTCTTGCATGAGCTAAAAAAAATTGAGACCCGCATTTGCCACATAAGAATTAACAGATTTATTAACGATTTGAGTAACGTAGAGTCTCATTTGTAGGGTTTCTATAAATTTAGGTACCGATCAAACGGGTCTTTAAAGATTGAATAAGAGTTTGTAATAACCCCGTCATTTGGGGAATTTACTATAGTTGATATAATATACTAACGAAAATGTTGCTCCTTCTATAATTTATATGTTATTGGTTACATAGTAGAAGTACTACTTCTTTGTGAGAAATTATACAATAGTACAGCTATACCACGTCATCTTGTAATACTTTCACTCAAATATTGTCACTTGTCCAATTTAAAAAAAGAAATGATTTGCTTTTTCACAGCTGGACTTTTACTTAATTTTCATATTTTGAAATAGAATTAGAAAAATAAACATAAATTAAAAAGTACCATAGCCGCTCTCTTCCTCTTTTCCTCTCTCTTCTTCCCCTTCTCTCTTCCTCTTCACCACTGCCACCATCAGCGGCCAGCCCTCTCTCTTCCCCTTCTCTCCTTCTTTTCCTCCCCTTCTCTCTTCCTCTTTCAAACAATATCGTTATCTTCCATAATGCCCCTACACCTTTCTCTTATTTCTCTCAGACCTAGGGATGGCGGTTATGGCAGGTACTAGGGATTAGGTTCGTTGGGTTGGGGTGGTGCTGCTGTTGGGGCAGTACTCTTTTTTTTTATATTATTATATATATGTTTTTGGTCGAATATATAAATTTATTATCAAGTCTTTTATTTTTCTAATTCTATTTCAAAATATAAAAATTGAGAAGCCCAGCTGTAAAAAAGTAAATCATTTAATTTTAAAAATGAACACATGACAATATTTGAGCAAAAGTACTATAAGCTGACATAGTATGCTTGTATTATTGTATAATTTCTCCTTGTTTGTATATGAAAGATGAATGGAGCTAAATTAAATGCATCAAGTATTACATCTAATTAAATCTGTTTACATTACAGCACTCCCAATAAATCTAATTAAATCTGTGGTTATCCAAGTCTGAGTGGGTGTTGACCAGCTTGTTGGAAAAACGCGTAAGTGGAAATGACTTGGAAAATTTGTAACCCAAACAGGTCTGCTAGTATTTGAGAGGACTTGCTTCTTACTGCTACTTTTGAACTTTTCTGTATCACAACAAACAAGAACCCCAAATTCACCGGAACAAAGCCTTAAAATTGGTAAAATCAGTGTTTTCAAAGGCATGCCTTCGCGCGCGTCGGCGCGAGGAGGGAGGAAAACGCCCGAGGCATCCGGCTGTTTCGCGATCTGCACGTTTAGCGCCGGGAAGGCGTGAGGAGGCGTTGCAAGGTGTGTCCAGGCGGAGCCAGGCCTGAGGAGGCGTTGCAGATCTAGAATCTTCTGAAACGGAAGAAATTGAAAGTCTGCAAATTTTGTTTGAGGAAGATGAACTCGGGAGGAAGACGACTCGGTTTTTTTTTTTTTTAGGTTTGTAACGAAACGACGTCGTTTTGGTTGCAGAGCTTTAGAAACAATCTTATAGTGAAACGACGTCGTTTCACTTGGAGTGTGTTTTTAAAAAAAAAAACTGCAAGTTTCAGTTTTTTGTTTTCCTTACCTTAATTGTAATAGGGAAGAATTAATATCTTTAATATCTTTCTTTTTCTTTTCTAACACCAATCGGCTGTAGCTTTGTACTTACCTTTTTTTTTTTTTTTTTTTTTTTTTTTTTTTTTTTTTT